CTAATACAGAACAAAGTATTTGACTAACTTGGAAATCGACCTCGTCACCCAGAATAACTTCTAGAGTAGACTGTAAAGACTACCGAACTATCATCATTAAGTGTGGAAGAGCCATGCTTCGGCGCGAATGGGCTGGCTCGACCGGAGTGATACCACTACCTCACAGAAAATCGACGTGAAACAACGCTTGCGTTGTGTTTCGCCGTGTGAGTGAGGTTACCGGGGGCCCAATTATAATCCCTAGTCTCCCGAATCCCCAAATCCTCCACAATCCTCAAATTCCACATTCCCATAAGGCCGGTAACGCACTTGTAACGCCTTAGTATTTCGAGTGTCCATTGGCGACGCCGATTGTTTACCATCAGGTGATCCGTCTGCTCGTTTACCGGCTTATGCTTTTAAAAAAAAACATCACAAACGCTAAAATAAAAAAAAAAACATAAATGTCTGTTTTCCTTATTGTAGAAGTTATTTCTGTTTAAATATACCACTGACAAACGGTGAAGGGAAACATCGTGAGGAAACCTGGGCTTGTAATATCTAATTATAAGTTTGAAATCGCCAACCCGCATTGAGCAAGCGATGTGATTAATGGTCAAACCTTCTCCGTGTGAGAAGAGGCCTTTGGTTAGCAGTGGCTACTTTTAGGGTGATGATATGATATTATTAATTGACGGACTTGACTGCACGGTTGGTGCGGTGGCTGGGCAACCGGCTGCCGTGCAACGTGTCGCGGGTTCGATTCCCGCACGGGACAACACTTTGTGTGATCCACAAATTGTTGTTTCGGGTCTGGGTGTCATGTGTACGTGAACTTGTATGTTTGTAAACGCACCCACGACACAGGAGAAAATCCTAGTGTGGGGCAACGTTTTTTTAAGAAAAAACAAATAAGAAAAAAAAATAAAAAATTGGAAGTACCTGAGAAATGGAGACGTAGAAAATCTTTAATATCGCTTTTATTGAACACAGATTGAAGACTAAACGTCAAAACCCTTTGCTCTACAGTCGTAAACTCTTAGCCAACAGCACGCACTTTTAAAAACAATTCAAATTCAAATTCAAATTCTTTATTCTATATTATTCAATTATTCAAATTCTATATTTTCTTAATTTATTGTTAATAATAAAGGAACAACAATACCTATCATATACACAATACTATTACTGTAGGAAATGGGTTACATAGGTACACTTGGTATACTCGACACGCGCGCTATGTTCGAACGCTTCCGTATAAAGAGTAATCGTTAACTCATAACGATTTGCTATGCAAGTCGAGTATACCCTTGTAATACATTATGTTATGTGTGTCAAACTATTTAGTTTAGGATTATTCAATTGGATTATACAGCTCGGATTTGATGCGTATGTAGTTGTTAGCGCGTTTGCTGTCCAAAAGAGTCGATTCCTGACCAATGGAATTTCGACACATTTTTGGGTTTTCGACATTAATATAATAATAGGTTGAAATACAGAATTGTACTCAATATATTGCTAAAGGCTTACCCTGTGCCTCATAAACTGAAAAGTGGTTGTTGTAGTACACCGGGCACAATTCCAAACTTAATGTTATAATAGAGACGTTTCGAAAACCGAAAAAACCCCAACAATTTCTTGCCCGACCAGAGAGGCCGAGATTTAGACTTGTTTAGCCATAAGGCTAATTGATACTAGTATATACTTGTAATCACTCGTTTAACGAGCTAATTACTAATTATAAGAAAAATAAAAATACAACTTAAAATTAACTAAAATAGCGAATAAAATAAAAATTAAAAGAAATAACGAAATTCGATAATCAGAACCTCACACCTATAAAAAGAATTTAAAATCAGATCCTCTATAATATAAAAAAAAGAATTTAAAGTCAGATCTTCTCCAATATAAAAAAAAAGAATTCAAAATCAGTTCTTCACCAATATATAAAAATAGTAGGGCACTGTTTCACTCTGAGCTGTACACAAACACAAAGAGAATACATGTTACGTCACCCCACGTTTCCTCGATTACGGCCTTACTCGGCGAAACGAAAGCTAAAGCGAGCCTTTCCAACAGCCTTATTGTGATCATAATTTTAATATTTCGACATTTCGCAAAATGCGTCGGTAGTTTTTTTATACGACTTTAATATAGAATACGTTCTGACTTTGATTCGTGTGTATGGATGTTAGCTATGACCGATTTTGAAGTGGTTTTCAGAAAAGTATTTATTTCATTTAGGAGAAAGTCCTTAGTATATTTTAGGCTCTTACCTTTGAAATAATTTAGGTTATCGACATCATTTTTTTTTAAACTAAAATTGAACTAGCTAAAGTGGAAAATTGGTTTTTATGCAAATTTTCTGTAATAAAACTTAATAATTTTACTCGTTGTTTATTAACCTGGATATAACATAACA